GGCCGTGGCGGCGCGTGTAACTCACGCGCGGTCTTCGGGCGGCGCGTGGGGTTGCGTGCGGCTTCGGCTCGTGTGCTGCTCCTCGATTCTTCGATCTTCGATCTTCCTCCTCTCGGATTTCACCTCGTATACTTTGATCTAATAAACACATGGCACTAGACACGTAATAGTTAGAAAAACGGAAGAAAAAGAGAAGGAAAGAGACTACCAAGGTAGTCGGCCGATGAAGGGCCGACTCCGGCGAGAATCCGGCGACGGCGCCGGTGATGGCCGCGGGAGAGAGGCCGCAGAGAGAGGTGAGCGGCTAGGGTTTTGATTAGGTCTTGTGTGTTTGTGCAAGGCCTATAAATCAAGTATTTATAGTCCCTTGCATAAAACCCTAACGGGCTTAAGTTGGACCGGGCCCAACAGCTTAAGCTCGTTAGTTCCTTTACTTGCTCGTCTCTCTCAATTCAATGATCGGAAAATTGCAACAATTACATTTTCGGAATCATTATAATATTCTCGTCATTACGAGTGCCATCTTTCATATTCCAACTTTCCAAAAGTGGAAACCCTAGTTCAGTGCACTTTCTAAATTTGGAAACTTCCCGATTTAGAAAGTTCACTAACACGTTCGCCTATTCTTTTCCTTTTCTTATTCTCATTCATAATTCCAAATTATGAATGTTGGATCCAATCATATTGACTTCCAATCATGCAAAGATAAACTTACTTTATCGCTGACCGTTTATTCAAAGATCTCATGTGCACGAGCAGTGTGACCCTCGATGGTTCAGGTGTAAGCTAGCCGTGGGCCCACAACCCTTTGTGGTCAAAACTCGTCCATTAGAGTTACGATTAAGATGAAGCTCGTTTCACCTTAATCACCCAACGAATCAAGATTGGCGTCTAGAAACTACGCGTCATGATTCCCTAGATACAAATGAAGTGCCTGCAAGAACCTTCAGATATAGTTAACGTCCAGTACGGTCCCTTCGATTCATATGTCCCGATCGAACTAGAGGCATTGGTTCATCGAGACCTCTTTATATGTTCGATGACGGTGCGATCGTTCCAAGTGTTGTAATCGTCACGTGCATGACTTAGAGAATCGAATTCTCTAATCATCACTTAGTCAGCTCTGGCCAGAGACTTAGAATGATTACAAACTTTCAGAACACACAGGAAATCCAAGACTATTCTAGCGATCGAATCCCCGACTACGATGCACAGACCTCCCACTAGATTTCGAACTGCACGAACACTGGCCCTTGGGGCGGTCCTCGATGGAACTCAGGGACATCACGATACAGCTGGTCCTCTAGTGAAGTCACGGTGAAGTCTAGGTCATAAGGACTAATGGTGTACAACTATACCATAGATATCTCTACTCGATTATTGGGAACCACTTAGAGATTTCTAGGGTGAGGGAGTTCAGTGAACTCGTCAACTTACGAGCACCCACTTATGCATGCCGATATCACAATACCGTTTACTGATGAGATGCAGTACACATACAGTAAGTGCTAGTCTTAATGGGAAAGGCCGATATCCTCATTAGTGGCGTAACCCTTCGACTAGGAACACGTTTAACAGTTATAATACTTGAGTAAATATCTCACGATCCTAACGATCAATTACTAGTACTTGTAATAACTGTAAGGACTATATCTATGCTTGTGACAAAGGGACAAAGATATAGAATGCCAAGGTGTTTTACCATTGATACGAATAAAGGTTCGTTTATTACAATAATAAATACGAAAGACCACAGCCATATGTTGGCTTGTTGGTCACCTACTCTAACAATCTCCCACTTGACCTAAAGCCAACTACCCTTAAATCGCAATCCCATCGACTCTCGATGTTTCTCATGGACCGATCTCGGTAAAGGCTTTGTGAAGGGGTCTGCAACGTTCTCTTCCGAGGTGACTCGTTCAACCTTAACTTCACCTCTATCAATGATCTCTCGGATCACGTGATACTTCCTCAGAATATGCTTCGACTTCTGATGAGATCGTGGCTCCTTAGCTTGCGCCACGGCTCCGGTGTTATCACAGTACAACGGTACTAGATCACTAGCATCAGGAATGACACCCAACTCTTGGATGAATTTCCTTATCCAAGTCCCTTCTTTTGCAGCTTCGGACGCTGCAATGTATTCCGCTTCGGTAGTGGAATCGGCCGTCGTGCTTTGCTTGGAACTCTTCCAACACACGGCACCACCATTAAGCGTGAATATAAATCCTGAATTCGACTTTGAGTCGTCCACATCCGATTGAAAACTAGAGTCAGTAAAACCCTCTAATTTCAACTCGGCACCCCCATAGACCAAAATATATCCTTAGTTCTTCCCAAGTACTTGAGGATATCTTTCACGGCTTTCCAGTGAGCCGGGCCGGGGTTAGACTGATATCTGCTTGTGACACTCACAGCATACGCAATATCGGGTCTCGTACATAGCATGCCATACATTATGCTTCCTATGGCAGACGCATAAGGCGTCCTTTTCATCTCCTCGATTTCACTAGGTGTTTGCGGACACATAGATTTCGAGAGACGAACCCCATGGGACATTGGCAAGAATCCCTTCTTGGATTCTTCCATGCTAAACCGTTTCATAACGGTGTCTATGTACAGGCTTTGGGATAAGCCAAGCATCTTCCTTTCTCTATCTCTATAGATGCGTATTCCCAATACGTAAGATGCTTCTCCCAAATCCTTCATTGAGAAACGTGTGGACAACCATGCTTTCGTTTGCTGCAACATTCCTACGTCATTCCCAATGAGTAGAATGTCATCAACGTAAAGCACTCAAAATATTACTGCCCTCCCACTAACCTTCTTGTATACACAAGGTTCTTCCGGATTCTTCTCAAAATCAAACTCTTTGATAGTTGAGTCGAACCTAGTGTTCCAACTTCGGGATGCATGTTTCAATCCATAAATGGATCGCTGGAGCTTGCAAACCTTTTGCTCACTTCCAGAAGATATGAAGCCTTCCGGCTAGCCATGTAAATTTCTTCCTCAATATCTCCATTAAGGAAGGCGGTCTTCACATCCATTTGCCATATCTCGTAGTCGTACCACGCAGCTATGGCCAGCAAAATCCTAATGGACTTCAGCATCGCGACTGGCGAAAAGGTTTCCTCATAGTCAACGCCTTGCCTTTGAGTGTATCCTTTCGCTACCAATCTAGCTTTATAGGTCGATACCTTTCCATCCACTCCAATTTTCTTCTTATAGATCCACTTGCAGCCAATAGGAACAATTCCCTTAGGTGGATCTACCAAGGTCCATACCTTGTTGGAGTACATGGAGTCCATTTCGGATTTCATGGCAGTTAGCCAATGTCCCATGTCCGCATCCGATACGGCCTCATTGTATGTTCTTGGATGTTGTCCAAGATCAACATGATCTTCATCATTTTCGAGGAGGAATAACCTATCCGGCATTTTTCGAACTCTTTCGGATCTACGTACCGTAGGTTCAGGAGCTATATTAGTGGTTTGTTGTATTGGTTCGATTGCTTGTTCTTGCGTTTGAACTTCACTTTGTGGTTCTTGAACTACTTCAAGTTCTATCATGCTGCCCTTTCTATCGGATAGAAACTCCCTTTCCAAAAAGGTGGCATTTCTCGAAACAAACGTCTTTGCTTCTCTGACATAGTAGAACTCGTATCCCATCGAGTCTTCGGGATACCCCACAAAATAGCACAAGTCGGACACTACAACAAAAAACATCTATTAGGACACTTTTCTTAGGGCAGTTTTTTATAAATGTCCCAAAATTAAGTTGTTAGGGCACTAGTTATATAGTATCCCGTTAATAATATTTATTAGGACATTTTTAATTAATCAATAATTTAAATATTTGAAAATATTAAAATGGCTGAGATTTTTCTTTTTGGTAAAGTAGGAAATTAATATTATATTCCGTTAATAATACTTATTAGGACATTTTAATTTAATTAATAACTTTATTATTTGGAAACAATAAAAAAAGGGGTAAATTCCACTTTACCCCCTCATACTCTCCCTGAGAATTACTTTACCCCTTCGTACTCTCAATTTTATCGATTTACCCCCTTGTACTTGTACAAATTTCCCAATATAGCCCTTTCCTTCAACTTTTGTCAATTTTGACTCTGACGCCGTTTGGTCAACTCTGTAAATTACAAAATTGCTACTGCTTATAATGCGTCGTTTCTCCTCCGTCAATATTGTCATTTCTTCTTCTCCCACCACTTCCCCTTCCAAGATATCCCCAAATTGAACACCTAACTTAGTAAAAATCAAGACCCAAAAATTGATCGATTCCACCTAGTGCAAAGAAAAAAATATATGAATGTGTGAAACTTTCTCTTTTCTAATCTCGAGAGTCAAAATCGAAAAAAATCAATATTTACATCAATATTTTGACTCTTGACCAAATGGCGTCAGAGTCAAAATCGAAAAAAGTTGACGAAGAGGGTTGTATTGGGAAATTGTACAAGTATAAGGGGGTAAATTGACGAAATTAAGAGTACGAGGGGGTAAAGTAGTTCTTGGGCAGAGTACAAGGAGGTAAAGTGGAATTTACCCTATAAAAAGACTAAGGGCCCGTTTGACAGGATTAAGCGCTGAATGCTGAATGCTGAATATGTGTCTGAATGAATAAGAGTTGTGTCTGAATGCTGAATGCTGAGCAATTAAGTTCGTTTGATAATTGAATGTCTGATTATTGTTATTTTCCTATTATACCCTTATTTAATACTGGCATTTTATTTGTTAATTAATTTTGATTAACAAATATAAATAAACAAAAAAATTTAAGCATGATCTACATAATCAATAAAATTTAAAATTTAAAATATTTAACATAGATAAAATATAAAATTCAAACAACTAATAAATATAACATTCACAAATAAAAATAGTAAAATATGGAAATACATTAAAGTCGCTAAAATTGACCTAAAAGATTAAAGTCGCTAAAATCAACGTCAAATATTTAATAACTTCTAATTGGTCACTCACTCAATGCATCAACCGAGTTGCTATCTCATCGCGAACATTAGCCATATACTGCATGTCTTCGACCCCCCACCATGGTCCGGTAGTTGTACCATCATTCTCGTGGTCTTGTCCATCCTCATTCGCACCATCAAAAGGCATATTGGGTTGATCAAGCTCCTCAAAAAATTTATCACTAATACGCTCTTTTCTTATAAAATTATGCACCGCAAAACAAGCAATCACTATATTTCTTTGCACATCTAATGAAAAAGGGGCCATCTTTTCTAAAATCGGAAATCTATTTTTCAGAAATCCATAAGTTCGTTCAATGACATTCCTTAGTTGAGCATGAGCATGGTTAAATTTTTCTTCTTTAGTCAAAGCACGTCTACGACGATAGTCTCCTAACCAATATCGTACATTGCGATACGGAACCATAAATCCTCTAGTGTGTGTGTATGCTGCATCACAAAGATAGTATTTACCTGTAATAATAATAAAGATAATTTAAGATCAGATTTAACGTATAAATGATTAGAATTTATAGTTTGAATTTAATGTAATACCAGCGGGAGGCCATGGAAAACCGTTTGTCGGATCAGCAACTGTATCTCTTAAGACTCTTGAATCATGTGTTACCCCTTCCCAGCCTGCCCAAACGAACGTAAACATCATATTAAAGTCGCATATTCCTAAAACATTTTGATAGCATTGACCCTTTCCTCTACCCCTGTACATAGTTTGCTTTGAAACTGGAACAACGGCATGTACTAGTGTTCCATCAAGTGCCCCAACTGCTCCCTACATTTAGATGAAAAATAAGTTACGGAAACAATAAGAGAATTAAATAATGATAGAAAAAATGGAACAATACACAATATCTACCTTAAAAATTCGGTGTAACCTCCTAAAACTTGCCGAAATATTTGGATTCGGGTCAAATGTTGTTGGTACTATTATGTCCCTTGCCATATTCATCATTGCACTCAAAACTTCGTGAAAATACGCATGAACTGTTTGTGAAGAGTGTTGAAATCTACGCTTCACTACGCGTAGACGCTTATTATGCCCAATAATTTGCAAGAACATTGCCATTTTTTCTTCTACTGATACATGTCTACTATCATGCAGCCACCCTCGTTGTCTAAAATGCATGCTCAAACGAGTATATGCAACACGAGACATGCGCATTAATTCAATACATTGTGTGTCTGATCCAGACAAGAGCTCCAATGTGTAAGCATGTCCCGACAATGCTGAATTGTTATCTCTGTTTCTTGGTACGCGCATCAAATATCTCGGACGAATTTGTGTGTACCAATAGATCATCATCAATATCATAATCTCGTAAATTTCCATATTTGACCTGTTAACAAAAATGATCAATGCATTAAATATTTGAGAATGTAAACTATCATTAGCAAAATACTAAATCATAAAAGAAACCTAATTCACAATGTAAATGTAAAACAAGTCTATTATTATAAAAAATACCAACTAAACAAGTCTTATTCTAAAATTGAAACTAATAACATAAAAAGTTTGCAATAGCCTACGAAACTTAAAACAAATCCATCGTCATAAATAAATACTACTAAATTCTCAAAATTTGAAACATAAGCCATTGCAAGTTAAAATTAAAATCCCGTATTTTGTCCGATTCTTTTAATCCATGCTTTCAGAACTCCGACATTATCCTTAGGAAGCGCCATCCAAGCTTCTCTATGTCCTGCACAACTGCCAAAGATTACAACAACTGAAACATATAAGATATCTTCCTTATCCCATTCAAGTTCATCCAATTTAGCAATACAATCTGTAACTGAAGGCCCACTATGATTTTTAATCATAAACTTCAAAGCTGCTGACATCTCATTTATTAAATTATTATCACCAGGCGAGGGTTGACTGTTTTTTTTTTCTTTTTAGGCTTTTCTCCTTGAGACCGATGGGCGAAATCATTAGTCTGAGTCCCTCTAGTATCCTTGAAATTTTCATCTTCATCATAATAAGAAATATCTTCTATGTCTCTTTGTTCCACATTCCGGACATTACTCGAAGAAAATGAGGTAACACCAGGATTTTGATCTTGGGAACTAGGTCCCCAAGAATGAACACCAGTAGCAGTGGCACCGTCGAATAGTGCTCTACAAAGGTCAGGATAAGGTAGAGGTGCAAGTCTTAAACTCTTTGCCTTAGGATGAGCCTGTATTTAAGTATCAAATTATAATTCTTAATAAAATCTTATAATTACTAATAAAAGTTAGATAAAACAATAAAAACCTAAACAATAAACCTTTATATACTCTGTCCACTCTTCCTTTGTCATGTTGATAGTGTTGGTGGCATGATTGTAAATATTGCCTGTTTTCATAGTTAACGGCAACCAAGCTTGATACTTTTGTTTTAAGTAGTCATATCGATTCTTCATTTGTCTTTGACAAACAACAAAATTATGATTTTTCTTCAAAGTGTTCATAATTGTGGTCCAAGATTCTGACTTCAGACTACCTCCTTCTCTACCATTTAGAGCAACTTCTCGAATACACGCTTCGAGAAAACATCTATCTACTTCACTGTTGTTCCATCTGACTCTATTATTTTCATCTGATTCCTCCATTCCTATATTCATGAATATTTATTCTTCAAAGTAAACCCTCACGAGCTATGATTCAAAAAATAGAACCAAATATCACGGTGGTATTGATAATTTACAATTAATCGAAGCTTCAAGAGTAGTTTTTGTGATGTACGATTTTTTTTAAATGCTAACTAGATGAAGCCTATGTAATGAGATATTGCATGCTTATCGTATCTTTAATTAGGGATGTAAATTTTTCGATCTAATTGAGTTTAGCACTTTTAGAAAATTTTAATAGTTTGAGAAGTGAAAATGTAATTCCACTCCCACTCGAAAAACAGCTAAAAATCGGAATCTGGATTTGAAAAATTGGAACTGTCAAATTCCAAATCAAAATAAATGAATTTCAAAATAGACTTTCCCACAAACACGACAATGCAAGTCTGATGTAAAAGAAATTTAAATCACAAATACCTGTAAGTAACCATGTCCAGAACAACTCCAAATGTTGAAACTTAAGTATGTAAGAGTGGAATTAAGTACGTTACTTTTCATGTAATAAGTGGACTAATAATCATATTTCACCCACCACAAAAATCAACATTATCAATGCAAAAATCTTTGTGCAGGCCTTCCAATTTTCCAATGTTCTTATTTTCGATTCATAACCAAACAAGCAATTCAGTACTCCTAATTGATACACATATACTCATATTACTACTATTCAAATTTGAATGTCGAATTATAAACCCTAACCTTGATTCAGTTTCCGTGCAAACCAACCGTCTAATGCATCAAACACAGAGCTGGGAATTTGAAAATCAAAATTTGAAGAAACTTACTCGGGAATAAATGAATAAACTAAATAAATAAAAATCAAAACTGTCTTCTAGAGTTCTTCTATGGGTTTTAATGACGTGTAAAACCAAAATTCATAACCTAGCTTTATCGAATAGAAAATCAAAATTAATTAAATAAATAAATGAAAAAACTTACTCGGGAATTTGAAGAATTGTCTTGCAGAGTTCTTCTATGGGTTTTAATGACGTGTGAGAAGTGGTGATGAAAAGATCCGTAGAAGGGATATATTTTATGATGGTAGGGTTTGGAATTTACAAGGTTATTTATGGGTAAAAGAAATAAAAAAAATTCAGAACTAGTCTGACCGAATAAGCGTGAAAATTGCGGCTTAATCGGTAAGCAATAAATCTTTCAGTTAAGAGATTCCCTCCAAACACGCTAAATATCATTATGCTGACCGAATCAGCGAAAATTACTCATTAAGAGGCCAATAAGAGGTAATCAAACGGGCCCTAAGACTTTACTTTGTGGAATTTTACCGCACAATTTTTTTTCGTTTCCCTCTTCTTATTTCCTGACTCTTTAGTTTCTTCTGTATCTTTTTTTTTTCTTCCAACAATCTTCTCTTTGAATATACCTATTCAATTCTACTTCTCTGTAATTCTGCGCCGGCGTTCTTCAAGGTACAATTTTTTTCAATTATGTTTTCCCCCTTTTGGTTCTCTCTTTCCATTATCCCTAATCCCTAATCCCTAATCCCTAATTTTTGTATAAGCTGAGTCTATGTACTAAAGATTTTGTATATCAATGGGTTGTGTGTTTTGCGAAATAGAGAGTGTGAAATTGAATCTATGATTGTACTCTTTTTGTGAATTGAATCGAATGGGGGGTTTGCTTTTTTTCCCTAATTTTTTATTTTTCTTTTCTTAAAAGAATCTTGTGTACTAATTAACATCATACATGTGCTCATGTTTTGTCTTACCTTTGTGGCTGAATTTAGAAAAGTGTGTTTGTGGTGCAATTGTTTTTTCTTATATAAAATATGTAGTATATTGTATTAAAATTCTAACACTACACCATCTTGTGTCAATTTTACTTGGGTGTAACTGGATAAAATATAGAGGAAAAACACTATTTTTTACTTGGTTATTTTTTTTGTAAGTATGCCTGAACGGTTCCTATTTTTTTCCTGAATAGTTTTAAACTTAGTTTCACACTAGTGTATATATATATATATATATATATATATATATATATATATATATATATATATATATATATTTGTTTGTTCGAGTTATTCAATATGTATTTATCATGTTGGGTTCAGGAATACTAAAGGTGGAATTGGATTTGGGATTGTTCGGGTGGAATTGGATTTGGGATTGTTCGAAATTCTTGAATTCCACTGTCGAGGTAAATAATGAGTTCTTTTTTATTTAATTAACTTGCTCATCCAGCGTAGTTCTTTTTATATTTAATTATAGACTTAAGTTTTAATACAGAACTAGAGACATAAAATTTATTGTTATTACTTTGTTATTATATTTGACGATGGTGTATTTGCTTATTATCTGATCTAACATATCTTATTTGATTTTAGTAGATTCATAATGGATAAGGGTTGGATGAGTAAACGAAGATCAACAAAAGAAGATGAAAATGGATTGAATCAATTTCTTGATATGGCTTTTGCTAAAGTAAGTCTTAGTGGAAAAATTATTTGTCCGTGCAAACGGTGTAGGAATGGGAAAGGGGTAATTAGAGAGATTGCCGAAGAACATTTGTTAGTTGATGGCTTTATGAAAGGTTACACAAATTGGGTCGCACATGGCGAAGACACATTGACTGATCATGTGGATTCCCAAAATTTTAACGAATTCAATATGTTAGGGGATATGACTGGGTTAGTACATGATGCGTTTGGTGTTAATGATACAAACTCAAACATGGAAGAAGAACCCAACGGGCAAGCTAAGGTTTTTTTTGAGTTGTTTGATGATGCTCAAAAAGAATTGTATCCAGGATGTAAACAATTTTCTAAACTTACATTTCTCATACGACTCTTTCACTTGAAGTGTACTGGTAAATGGTATAATAAATCATTCACAATGCTTCTTGAGTTGTTGAAAGAGGCCTTTCCTGAAGCAACTAAGTCACTGCCCAGTTCTTATTATGAAGTTCAAAAGATAATAGGAAAATTAGGACTTACTTGTATTAAAATACATGCTTGTCCTAATGATTGCATGTTGTATTGGAAAGAGCATGAGAATGATATAGCTTGTCATGTTTGTAAAACATCTCGATACGATCAAGCTCAAACGAATGTTGATGAAGGAGATTCCTCAAGTAAATTCAAAAAAAATCCAGCAAAAGTATTGAGATATTTTCCATTGAAGACTCGTCTTCAAAGACTCTTTATGTCATCTAAAACGTCGTCATTTATGAGATTGCACCAAGAGCTTCGCACTAAGGATGGTTGCATGAGACATCCTAGTGATTCTCCGCTTTGGCATGATTTTGATCGTCGACATCGTGACTTTTCAAAAGACTCAAGAAAGGTAAGACTTGGTCTAGCGGCTGATGGATTTAGTCCATTTCGGACCATGAGTGTTACTCATAGCACATGGCCAGTTATATTAACCCCGTACAACTTACCTCCATGGATGTGTATGAAAGAACCTTACTTCTTTTTGACCCTACTCATTCCTGGTCCATCAGCTCCCGGCAACAATATTGATGTCTACATGCAACCACTAATAGAGGAACTAAAAGAATTGTGGAATGGAGTCGAAACATATGACGCATCACATAAACAAAACTTTTGTATGCGTGCAGCTTTGTTATGGACTATAAACGATTTTCCAGCATACGCAAATTTGTCTGGTTGGAGCACGAAAGGCCAGTTAGCCTGCCCATCATGCCACAAAGATACCTGCTTTCAATATTTGTACAATAGCCGTAAAGAGTGTTACATGGGTCATCGGAGATTTCTAAGTGAATATCATGCTTATAGAAAAGATAGTAAATCTTTTGACGGGAAAGAAGAATATCGGCGAGCTCCCGTACCATTAACTGGAAATATGATTTAGGAGGAATTAAATGGGTTCAATATGAAATTTGGAAAAAAAGTAAATGATAATCCTGTGTTACCTCACAATTGGAAAAAGAGAAGCATTTTTTTTTGATTTGCCGTACTGGAAAGACAATTTGTTGCGTCATAATTTAGACGTGATGCATATAGAGAAGAATGTATGTGACAGTGTGCTCGGGGCTTTATTAAATTTGGATGGGAAAACAAAAGACCATGAAAATTCTCGCCTTGATTTGCAAGATATGGGCATAAGGCCCGGTCTGCATCCTATGCAGCTTGATTCAGGAAAAAGGTACTTGCCGGCAGCCTCGTTTTCAATGAGTAAAAAAGAGAAAGAAATATTTCTTGAAGTTTTAAAGACCGTGAAAGTACCTGATGGTTATGCATCAAATATATCAAGGCACGTGCAGATTAAACCACCTAAAATATCAGGTCTAAACCATCTAGAAGTTCAAAGTTGCTAGAAACCATTGTAAGTTTAAATTTATGTTAGATTTCACTATAAATTTTATGTCCTTGTTTATTTTACAATGTAATCTCAAGCTTTATTGTTGATTAAATATTATATTAAATTATTACAGGAACAATTGCAAGAAATCGAAGAAGACGAAACTCAGAATTCAGATGATGATCCTACTCCTACTCCTGATGATGCATTTGCAAAAGTATTGGGTACGGATAAGCATGGATATGTGCGTATGTATGGTATGGGAGTGAAACCAGCTGATATCTACGGCACAATTCCAAGTCGTGACGCAAGTTATAGATTGGCGATGGGTATAAAGACAAGTATTTGAAAACAAAAGACCAATATGATGCACTGAATGAGAAGGTGGATAATCTAGCAGCAACAGTTCATGGACGAGTACAACCTAGTGCACAAAATGTTCCCGTTACCTCTCAAAGCAACCAACGCTCGTCTACATCAATTTCTCAACCGAGACAGATTCGGGTAATTTACTTGAAGCTTGTTAAATCCTTTAAATGAAAATTGTTATGAATATTTCATTACAAAAACTATAAGCACGCTTAAATTGCAGGTTAATTCTGCCGTTGTTCTAAAAAGTTTGGGAAATATCAATGAGATTGTTGCAAGTGGATATGTTTGTAATATTGGTTCTATTAGAGTAAACGGTGAGGAATTGGGATCTGAATGGTGTGAAATAACCATTCAGTCTGATATTAAGAAAGATGTGCGCTTGCTTAAACCTTATGATCACATACAGACCATCGGAGATTCTATTGGAGCTCCTGTTGCTTGGCCGTTATCCTTGGTATGTAGTAATAAATTTGATTATGTGGATAATTGAATTTAGTCAAATATCGTATTGAAGGATTGAAGTTTTCTTTAAGCATTATAGAATAGTTGGTAACTTAGAATTTACATTTTTGAACACTTTATCGCTTTGATTTACCTAAAATGAAATGTTAATATGTATTTTCTGTTTTATAGGTTGCTTTGGATGAAAATGAATTTTAATGCTTTAGCATAACAGGTTTAGTTTTTTACAACGTTACTCTATTTTGTTGTAGAATTTTGAAGTACAATATTCATATTCTAACAATTCTAATTCAAAATTTACAGATATATCAAGAGAGATGCATCGAGAAGAGATGGCATACTTAGAGAAAATGCAGTCCTGAACCATCAATTATGCAGTGTATGAGTAAAAAACAAACAACTACTCTATCATCAATCTTAGAATTTTATTATTTATTAGTTTATAGTTTAGCATAAGAGACAGAGATAAATTTCCATTATGTTTGCTAGTTGCAGGATAGCAGATTATTTATTTCATACTATTTTTCAATTCATAAATGAGATTTGACTTTGTTGAATGATATTTGCTTGGATTGTTCAAGTAACAAATGCATTTGATGATGGATTAAGTTATATTTGATTACAGTAATTATTTTGCACTTTTATTCAAGTTTACTAATTTTAATTATTAAGGTTCTTTTAATTATGTATGGTAGGCTTTTAGATAAATAAAAATGTCCCAAAAAAGATAATAATGTTTGAATGGGACATTTAGAATTGCCTCAAACTATTTACCAATACTTATAAATATCCCAAAATAATAATTACGTGACATTAATATTTGTCCCGAAACATAATGATATATATAAATGTCCTAATACAATATTTATGGGGCACTTACATTTGTCTTCAAAATATAAAAGGATACTTACGTGTGTCCTAATATAATATCTTATGAGACAGTTAGTTTTGTCTCCAATTATATTTACGATACTTATAAATGTCCTAATATAATCTTTTCATACGACTCATTCAGTTTTAAAGGGCACATATAAATGTCTCAAATATGTTTGAAGGCATAAATAAGTGTCCCAATAAATTTATCATGAGACACTTATATGTATCCTATTGGCATGCTATTATGACATATTTAAGTGTCTCGATAGGACTCATATAGAGACACTTGAATGAATCCTATATTTCAACTTATATGACATATCAAAGTGTCTCGATAAAATATCATTTAGAGGCACTTTAAGTGTCCCAAAACTTAATAGGACACTCAAACATGCGACACTTATGATATGTGTCCTAAAATATACGAATGTCCCGATATGTACCATATAGAGACACTTTTTCGTGTCCTAATAGATGTTTTTTGTTGTAGTGGGATTTACTATCCAACTTATCTCCCACTAATCGCTTCACATAAGCGGGACAACCCCATATCCTAATATGTTTGTAGTTGGGTTTCCGGGAATGCGAAAGTTCATAAGGTGTGGATTTAACTGCTTTGGTGTTAACTCTATTCAGCAAATACGCGGCAGTACGAAGTGCATGACCTTACAAGCATGCCGGTAAGTTTGTGAACCCCATCATTGATCGAACCATATCTAATAAAGTTCGATTCCGACGTTCGGAGACTCCATTAAGTTGAGGAGTTCCCGGTGGAGTCCATTGGGATTGTATCCCATTCTCTTTTAGATAGTCAATGAACTCGATGCTCAAGTATTCCCCACCACGATCGGATCGCAGCTTCTTAATACTTCGTCCGAGTTTCTTTTCCACTTCGTGTCTAAAATCTTTGAACCTTTCAAATGTTTCAGACTTGTACTTCATCAAGTACACGTACCCATACCTAGAATAATCGTCGGTAAAGGTAGCGAAGTAGTTATATCCACCCTTCGCACTAACACTTAGTGGACCACATACGTCTATATGGATCAAATCCAAAAGACCCTCGGCTCGTTCCATTTTCCCTTTGTAGGGTGACTTGGTCATTTTCCCTTTAAGGCAAGATTCACAAGTTTGCAGTGATTTCACGTCCTCCAAAGAGAACAATCCTTCACTGACAAAATCGTTCATCCTTCTTAAAGAGACATGACCTAATCTAGCGTGCCAAAGTTGTGCGGGGTTTTGATCTATCTCCTAACGTTTTGCTGATATAAAATTAATAGGTATTTCATTTGGATTTAGTTCATACAAGTTGTTTAATGGTCGTCCTTTGCAAATAAAATTCTCATTCTTTTGTATAATGCAAATCGAATTTCCAAAAACAAAAGTAAAACCTTCAATATCTAATACAGGACTAGAAATAAGGTTTCTAATGAGGGACGGAACAAATAAACAATCGTTCAAAACAATAGGAAAACTAGAATCCAAAACATTTAACTAAATTGTGCCAATGGCTTCAGCAGCAACTCTTGCTCCATTCCCCATCCTTAGGTAGGTCTCACCCGCTCTAAGTCTTCGACTTCTTGTCATTAGCTGCAAATCATTGCACAAATGTGAGCCACAGCCCGTATCCAATACCCAAGAAGAAGAGTTGACAGACAAATTTACGTCAATGAAATACGTACCCTTTTCAGAACCTTTCTGCTTTAGGTAAGCCTTGCAGTTGCGGCACCAATGTCCTTTCTTTCCACAGTGATGGCAAGCATCATCAACTTGCTTGCCAACCTTTGCTTTGGGGCCCCCACTACCTTCACCGACTTCAAACTTGCTGTTTGGGAAGGGAACTCTTTCCTTTCTCTTCTTTTGGAAAGAACTCTTCTTTCCAGAAGTAGCAGCAATGAGAACAGACTTCTCTTTCTTAATGGTGGACTCGAAGCTGACCAACATGTTCATTAACTCATCCAAGGGAGGATCTAGTTTGTTCATGTTGAAGTTCACTATGAACGATTCATAGGAACTAGGAAGAGACAACAGGATCAAATCCAACGAGAGCTCGGCCAGGAGGGTGACATCAAGATTCACTAGCTTTTCAAGGAGAGTGATCATTTTGAGACAGTGCTCGTGGACCGAAGTCCCTTCGCGCAGTCTCGCTGTGATCAACTCCTTTGTAGCAGCGTACCTCGATGCCTTAATATTCTCACTATACTTGCTATCGAGATGAGCCTTTATATCGAAAGCATGCATGTGAGACTCATATTTCCTCGCAAGCGCGGGCTCCATGGCGGCTATCATATAGCACCTAGCATGAGTGTCATCTTTCTTCCAAACTTCATAAGTTTCCTTCTCAGCATCAGTCGCAGTGGCAGGTATAGTGGCAGGAAGTCTCTCGTTCAAAACATAGAGACGCCCCACAACGGTTAGCACAAGCTTAAGACTACGCAACCAATCTAGGTTATTAGGGCCATTGAGTTTATTGTCGAGGATTGACATTATGGGATTCTAAGACATGATTATCTGAGACATATAGAGAAGAGGATTATTAGAGATTCGCGTTAAATGATTGTTACAATTAAATGTTTGGACTTATGTTATTTAATTGTTCTCCCACTAATTTTATCGAGTTCCACTTCCCTCTAGTAGACAAACGAGAAAACTGATTTTTCTTAATGGGCTTTAGGTCCAATAGACAAATACAACCCGTAGTTAATCTAGCCCGATTATATTTGCCCAAAGGTAGATCACAATCAATCATATCCACAATATGACCCTAAATTAATTTTCCTCACACTTGATAATGACCTAAGTTAATCTCGCGAATATCAAAATCGTCGCGTGTCAAGTCT